CAGCATAACTAAAGCTGAAATGAATGCATAAATTATGTCTTTTCTATATAAATATATACTCTTACAGTAAAAGTTTATATTTTACTAAAAATCACTTATCCATGTAACATATTAATATAAAGAAAGGTTAACATTTAAAGAAAGATATATAGTAATTCAAGACTGTTTAGAGTTTATTGACTTGTTGAATATCCAAGTGTTGGATGCAACTCGATTTCTAACCCTTTCTCAGTATTTGAGTACTGCAGGCACCCTTTTCTAGCACTTAGGGCTTCAAAGCAACTATCATGTAGAAACATGACATTTGTCTCATTTCCCTTTTCTTTTGCACCTCTCGTCAATTTCAAAGACAGATCTTCCTCGACTTACAATGGGGTTACCTCCTGATAAACCCGTGGTAAATTGAAACTATCCTAAATCGAAATGCTTTTAATACTCAACCTCCCGAACAAGATAGCTTAGCCTAGCCTACCTTAAGTGGGCTCAGAACGCTTACATTAGCCTACAGTTGGGCAAAATCATCTAATACAAAGCTTATTTTGTAATGTTGAATATCTCACATAATTCATTGAATGCTGCGCTGAGAACGAAAAATGGGATTGTTGTCTGGGTACAGAATGGTTGTCCGCCCTCGTGATGGTGTGACTGATGGGGGGCTGTGTCTCGCTGCCACCACTGCCCAGCATCACGAGAGTATCCAGCAGCACGTCACTAGCCTGGGAAGAGATCAAAATTCAAAACTAGAAGTACAGTTTCTACTAAATGTGTATTGCCCTGTCTCACCTCTACACGTGCTTGGGTCCTTTTATCCTTAATCCTATTTCAAAATCAAATTTATAACGACGGACTGGAAAAGATTCAGCGTCACCTTTCCTTTTACTGTTTAGCATGTAATGTGAGGATTTCACCCCTGAGTCAGTTGAAAGCAACTTCTAATAGAAAGAGGAACAGCACAGAAATAGACAAAAAAGAGCAACATTTCCACCTACAGGAACTAATGAGCGCTCAGAATGAAACGTAAGTTTGATATATGTTCTCCCCAGAGAGAAAGCTTAGAGGCTTAGCTGAGAGTAAGGGGGGGGGGGGCCCATGCAGAACACGAGGGGGCTGTCCCACTGGGACCACATTTGTGTATGATGTCTCAAACTATCTAGTGCATGGACTGTGGACCTGACTAGAGCTGCCAGCTTATGGGCAGAAAAACCCAAAGGTGAAGGGTAGAGAATACTCACCTGGCCTTCCTAGATGGCCCATCTTTATAATACTGTCATCTTTATCCTTATATACAGCACAGAGAATATCTGTATCTGAGCAGCTAAGATAAAGTTCTCTGGGTCAGAGACAAATATCTGGAAACTCTTTCACAGATCCTCAGATTCTATAGGGTTTCCCATATCCTTATACCTAGGCATTAACCTCAGCTCAGTTAGGGCCCCAAATACTTCCTCATGCTCACAGGTATACCAGGAATGGACTTCCTAACCCAGTCCTGACCTGTGTCCCCCAGGTATTTCTATCATACATGAAAGTGAGATTTTTAAGAACTCTTAACCCAGGGTCATTGAAAAGTCTCTAAAGCCCAGAGAGGAGGAATTGTTTCCCCAGACCATGTAGTAAGGAACATATTTTTCAGTACCTCACGTTAATGGAACCCCTCCCTTCCATATCTGTATATATATATTTTCTAGGCTCCACATTGAGATAATGTGTTCATTAACCTCACTGAAAAGGGGGGGAAATGAGAAAAATACACTGAAAAGGATACATTGAAAAGGATGGTCATTGCAGATAGGACATATAGCCAAAAGGCCACATTTAAGGGTACACTGGTGCCTGATTCAGACTCACACATGAAGATGCAAATAAGGATAAAGGAATTCTCTGCCCCAGTTCTGTCACCTTCTGAGTTATCAGGATGATGAAGCCACAGGAACAATGGGATTAATGAATGTCTCAGTTGAATTAGCCAGGCCTGATCCTATATATATCATAAAGGAAACGTTTAGTAAAATCAGATAGCTTCATTTCTATGAAAGCCTCAATGGTCCCTTAACTCCAACACATCTTCCTCCTCCAAAATAGCCCTTTCCTCCTTATGCAGAACTCTGTTCAAATATTTTTATCCTTTTTCATATAAAGTCTGTTTATTTCTCCTTGTATGAACATCAGGGGAAGATAGCATTTTAATAATCATGCGTGAGATATTTTTAAAGTATATAAATATTTGCCTTTCCATTTAAAAATGTTTGAAACTTTAAGATTAATGACTCAAAATACTAATATAAGTAGCTAAAGGAGTAATATGTGGGTTTGTTGATTTTAAATGATATATGAAGATCACAGGGAAAGACATTAATAGTACAACGGAACCATCCATTTTTTATTTCTATATTGAGCATTATTTTATCAAGGGAGTGACAATTGAGGGGTTTCTGGAAGTTTTAGTCCATAGCATCCTTAGCATAAGAAACAACTCCTTTTGACTTTGGAAATTTTTTATACAAATATAAGGGAAGTAACCAACCACTGTCCATGAAGAAAACTATCTATTCAAGGCTATCTTGAATTTCAGTTTAGGTCCCAGAGATTGGGTAGCAATGTGTATTTTTAAATAAATAGATTAGGCATATTCCTTGCCAGGGAGCATCTTTGAACAGCAATGGTTTCCTGGGCAGGAAATTAAGGCTGGAATGTTGGTGCCTCACACATGAAGATATGTAAGTTGAAGTAAGCAAGATTTGGAGGAAATGAATGAAAAACTATTGTGATGGTAGTATACTTTTAGAAAGCTAAGAGGATGGTTTCCATTCTTGGAATTAATTTCTAAAAGAATGAACTCTTAGAATAGTACGTGACCAGTGTTTAACCCTCCTGACCCAGCACCCTGAAGAATCCCCGTGAAGAAAAGAAACAGAAGTAGCTAGAGGAGTCCTGTGGTGTGATCACTAGGTTTTCTGCTGAAGGTAAACAGAGTGCTCCCCTTTGCACTACATAGGCAACAGAGCTGCATTTCCTATTATCAGTTCCTCACTGTTTCTGTCTCCTTTTATGCTCTAAATGGCGGGGGCTGGAAGACTTACAATTTCCCACAATCACTTGCAGGAAGAAGCTGAGGTAAATTCCACCAATGATAGGTTCTCCTATTTAGGGGAGATTTAGTTTTGCAGGGGCCTTTGCACTTGCCTGAAAATTGCTAGCCTTGGTGTTGGTGCATCCTTCAGAAGTGGTTTCCTGGGGTATTTGAAACTTTCTGATGAGGATTTTGTAAGCACTTGATTTCCTGTAGGAAACCACTTCCTGCTTTAAATACCTACAGGGCTTTTTGTTTGATGCCTGATTTTAGAACCCCAGGTCTCCTTGAATTCACTTAACCCTTAGAAAAATGACATTTCAGGAGCAGGACAATCAGGCTTTAGAGTTGTATCCTCTCACCCCAGAGTAGTGAAAGATGAAGAATAAAACGACATTTACAAGGAATTTGTTGGGCAGGTAGACCAATGAGAGAGAGACAGACAGAAACACAGACAGAGAGACAGAGACAGAGAGAGACAGAGTAAAAGGAATTATACTCGGGGGGGTTGGGGAAAAAAATTATTATACTCAATAAGAAATAATCAGAAACTTAAGAAACAAAACTACAAAAGAAATGCACAAGCCTAGAGATGAAGAAAACAAAAACTTTTGATACAATCAAGCTATTAAGAAAAATCAATAAAATTTAATAAATAACATATTAAAAAAAGAACAATAAAAATAAAATGAAAAAAAAAAAGAAGAAATGTGCCCCCAGAAACCGCAGGAGCACCTATGAAGAGAAAAAGAATATACAAACATAGAAAGTGACACACACCCCCAAAGAAACAGGTGCAGACAGAAAAGACCAACATCCCACAGATATTTTGAATATCACCTTAATAGACATCCACACAGTTTTACAAACACCAAAATGAATTGTGATTTCAACAGCTCTTTATCACAAATTATTATAATTATTAGACAATGAAGGGACTTTCCCAGACTATTTTAACTTCCCACTCAATGTGGAAATTCCTCACCTAACAGTTCTGAAAGGTTGCACCGGATTTTTCTTTAATATTTCTACTGACAGTTTGTTTCACCTCAGAACAATCTATTTCATGTCTCCAGTCCAGGTATCTCTCTCCTCTTCTCCCCTCCTCTCCTCTATCCTCCCCTCCTTCCCTTCCCCCAACTCCTTCTTTCTCTGTCTCCCACCCCCTCCTCCTCTTTCTTCTCCTGTCCATCCTTCCCCCGCCCCCTTCGCTTCCTCCGTGTCTCTCTCTCCCTGTCTTTCTCTTTCCGCCTCCCTCTCTCCCCACCCTCCTCCAGTTCCTTATATGCTTCTCCAACTAGAGATTCCAAGTAGATGCCTTAAAGACCCATCTGGATGAATGTACTGCACTTGGTCAAGAGAGGTGAACAGAGGTAAACAGGTAAACATGATAGGTAAAGCTGAGGGAGAATTATATCTAGGAACTTACATGAAAAGAAAACCTGATGTGGGAGAGGAGCGATAAAAATTAGTTTCACTTGATAATAAAGAAGAAATGTTTGGGGGCCATGAAGCTTTGGGTAGAAAAAGAAAATCTATAGAAATTCCTTCTCTGGGCATCTGTCTCTGTGAAACCATGTTCCATTCCAAGATGGGAGAGAAGCATGGCGCTGATATAAGAAAACAGCGCAATGTGGACAGAACATTTCAGAATGTTCAGATGAGTTTGCTACATGATCATCTTAGATGGAGAGAGAAAAGTCTCAGCTATGGTCCTGGATTAAGTGACCGCTTAGTCTTATAAGGACCATGAGTTTTTCTTCCCCTGCAAGAATGACTCTATATGTTGCTTTAGGAGAATAAGATAATGTAAGTCACTCACCTAGGATTTCACCTGGAAATAGGAAATTCTCTTGAGATTTAAGTTGAGTAAAAACAGTTGAGTGTAAGAAGCTATCAGTTCAACAAAAAATTCCTGGTAGCACAGAACTTTTCTGAGAGTCTCAGAATATTTATTATCTTTTTTTCCAGTATAAACACAGATAATGAGGGTCTCAGAAGACCTCCCCCATCTGAGATAAGATGTCACAGGACTCCTTGTAGGCTTAGCCACTCTCAAACTGATGGCCCAGGGGCACAGATCTCAGCCTCAGAATCCCTGGGCTCTCTTGCTACCCTCATGAATAGTGGGGCATCTTCTCTCATCTCATCTTCCTGCCCTCCAAGAACTTCTGTCCTTGGTGACTCCAGGGGACAGCCTGAAACAAGAAGAAAAGTGTTGGATTCTACCTGTGACCCGGAAGAATGAGAACACTCATTTTAGAGAGCAGGAATAATGGAAGAGATGCAGACTGTAAAAATTTCTGTATGTCATCAGACACTCAGAACCATCCTGCCACGACAGGACTTTATGACTCTTGGCCCATAGTCTGGGGAAAACCTGTAACAAGAGATTACTATTTCTCAAGGTGAATATACAAGAAATGGGAAGGAGGAAATCACAGCTCCAAAACAGTCAGTCCTCAGTGACAGACCAACCTTTTCTTTGTGACTTGTCCTGATTTCTGAAATATCTACGCAGATAATCCCAAACTTTATAATGCTTGTTATATAAGGGAGTTGCTACATGAGCTATAAAAAAAAGTCAGTCTTCACCAGAAGGCTTACAACTTTTCACCTTACACAGAAAAAAGAAAACAACAGCTTTCTAATCTGCTAATTAAAAAATATTATGGCTGAAGCTCTCGTGCTTCTATCTCTAAGGTCCTATGAGTTTCTAAAGAAATCTGGATTAACGTTCTCCCCCATCTAACCCAAGAAACTATGTATCTGTAAGGAAGGTCAATCTAGTATATTAGGGGCAATGGCCCTCGTAATGTAAGAAATGTCACAAAATGTTCATATTCTGGCATTTCACCAGACACTCTATACTTTGGTTCACATGCAGAATTAGTGCAAAAATCGTTTGACCGTGCATGGAACTAATATTCAAGTTTGAGAAATATGGTCATAGAAACACCACATCAGTGACTGAGAACAGGGGTGGAAGGGAGGTAACCACAGAAACCGAGATCTAGCCAGCCTCTGTGAGGACACAGAAATGCCTTGAAAAGGGCAAAGTCGATGTATGAGAGAGATAGGAACCCACTCAGATTTTCTACTCTCAGAAAGGATAGCTGTACTCTCTCCTTGGTCACTTAGAGAGGCCTAGGTGACAAACCTGTACCCCTCCACGAAGGAGATACCCACTTCACTCATTGCTGGAAAAGGAACAGTTTCAGACAAAGCCACTAATTTGACTTCTTTGAAATCATCACTTGGGGAATTGTGCTCTGACTTCGAACTCTAAGGCAGACAAGGGTCTCAAGGACAGTGGCAGAAGTGAAGTGCAACGTGCAATAGGGAAATGGAGACATTTATACAGATGATTGTGAGTTACAGTGACTTCATGCGAAGTTTGGGCCAATTGACTTAAACTTTTCCAACTACAACAATAAAGTATATATTCTCATTTATATAATGGCAGTGTTGGGTTAGACGCTCTGTTGCTTACAATTAAAACCATGTTCTACTTTATTTTACCTCAGAGAAACCCTGTAAAATAACCTTTTACAGACCAGGCATTTTAATTTTGTGAGAGGGAAACCTGGTCAGACTATCTGTAGGACATCTGACGTTCATATTGAAGGAGTGACAGGGTTGATTCAGAGAACCGAAGGAGTCCCCTCCCAGTGATGTCACAAGGGAGCCATAGAACAGCACGAAGAAGAAAGGAACTGCCCTTACCTGGAGAGGCAAGTCACCTGACATACAAAATCTGCAGGAATTAGGGCCAACAGGTGGTCAGAATGTCCCCTAGAAACATGGACTCTCAGCCTCCCCAGGGTGTTTGTATGATGATCTATCCCATCACTTATCCCTGTCGCAATGACAACTTTGTAACAAGTGCCTGGAGAAGAGGCACTTCTTCACTGTCCAGCATGGAAAAAAAAAAAGGGTAGCTTAATCCCTGAGTCACTCGAGAGGGAGAACCTTGATAAGAAGAGGAACATCACAAGCATAGATAGATGAGAAGGAGAAACCTTTCCACATACAGGAGTCCCTACATCATAAACCTATGTTTATTATGAAGGTAATGAGGAGTCAATGAGAGCTCAGAAGCAGACATCTGCTTGAAAAGTGTTCTCGCTAGAGAGAAGACTCAGAAGGCTTAGGCTGAACAGAACACGAGGGGGATGTCTCACTGAGCCCAGATTTGAGTTCGGGATTCTCGGATATCTAGCACGTGAACTGTGGGAGTAACTATAGAGCTGTCAGCTTATGGCCATGTGAACCCAAAGGTGAAGGGCAAAGAATACACACCTGGTCTTCCCAGATGATCCATCTTTATGCCATTGTTTTCTTTATCCTTATGGACAGCATTATGCAGAGAATACCTGCATCGGAGCAACACTAAGACAAAGCACACTGGGTCAGAGGTCATCTGGAAACTCCATATATCCCCAGGTTCCACAGGGTTCCTTAGATCCTTAAGCCTGGGCATTATGTAGGCTCAGACAGGGCCCCTGATATTTCCTCATACTCCACAGGTACACCAGGAATGGACTTCTTAGCCCAGTCCTGACCCGTGTTACCCAAGTACTTCTATCACATATAAGATTATAATTCTAAGACCTTTAGCCCTGGGTCATTGAGACCTTGGGGATCAGAGAAGACTAGACATTTTTCCTCGTGTTCCCCGCATTATAACATATTATATATAACATATATCATATAATATATTATACATATATAACATATGTAACATATTATATATAATATAACATATGTTATATATTATATAAAATATAACATGTAGTAATAACACCTTCTCCTCGCTCCATACACACGTTCCCTCATTATGGTTGGCCTGTGTCCTACAGCCCACCATGGTACTTACATTTCTTTACATGTTGGTCTATCTCAAATAAAAAGGAAGAAAACATGACAAAGAGAAAAAATACAAAGAGCATAGCAAACAAGGCATAGAGCCAAGGAACACCATTTGGGAATAAGCTGGCCCCTGGTACAACTTCTGCCATGGAGGTCTGAGGACGCGGAATTCTCTGCCCAGCTCTCTCACCTCCTAGGTGACACGGCTGATGAAGTCACAGCTTCCGGCACAATAGGACTCATGAAGGTCTGGCTGGGGATTGGCCAAGCCTCGTCCTATAACTGCTAGATAGAAACAAGTAATCTCAGGGAGCTTCACTTCCACCACAGCTCCACTGAACCCAAAATATTAGACAATCAGATTAGCTTGGCCAAGGTCAAACAGCTTGTGAGCAGCTGGTGTGGCACTGAAAGCTGGCTTGCTGAGCCCCAGCTCCAGGCCCTTTCCGGTGCCCACAGTGCTGCCTGCCTTGCTGCCTGCCCGGGCCTGTGTTCCAGCCTGGCACGGATCTCAACTCCTCATTCTCTCCCTCACCCATGCCCAGCTCATTTGTCACCCAGCCCTTCTGCTGCTAGTTTGCATTTTTTCATTCTTTCAAGGAGAACTGCTTCTCCCTCTCCTGGGTCTGGGGTCAGGGCTCTCCTAGGGCTGGTAGTGAGAGGCTGGCAGGCCTGCTAGCTGGCCGCTCAGTGGCTACTTCCACTGCTGGGGCCCATACTTGGATACCTCAGCCCTGACCCCCCCATGCTGCCTTCACCCTGTGCCTCCCTAGCCTCAAGGCCACCCCGAAGTAGAGGACTCACTTTCCTCTGCTTAGCTGGGCAGTAGGGGCTGCTGGGATGGCAACAGGAGACCTAAGAGTTAGAGGAGCCTGGGTCTCCCGTCTCTGCACTCCCAGGAGAGCCCGTCTCTTTCCCTAAAGCTTCCTGATTTAGGGCTCTCTGTGAAGGCCCAAAACGTACTGTGAGCTCCAGCCCCAGGGCCTCTGAGGGTAGATTTTACTACACATATTCAGAATGTCCCTCTCACTGCATCGGAACCATATCCATTCACAAAATGAAGAAACTATTTCCCTAGACTTCACAGCCCTAGAGCCAGTCTTACTCAGCAGAACAATGTCTAAATTGAAAAACCAAAAAAAAGGACAGATTTTCCCTGCCACAGGGAACACTGTCCCACCACCACTCCCCCGTACACACAATGATCTCAATTCCTGGTCTGAACTCAACCTTCTCTAAGGTGACTGACCAGTGCAGACCCACTGACAAGATGCTAATGTGGTTCCACAGTCTTTGCCAGCTCCCAAGACTTCTTATGTACCATGTCCGGAGCCCTCATGCCTCATCTCCATCTGCATGAGTGTGTGTTTCCTCTCAAGGTCCACAAACCCCCTATTTCTCAACAGAACAGCCAAGAGAAATCTCTGATACCAGGACACTGCCTAAGAACAAAAAATGTGCCCAGTGCAGGATTGAATAAGAAATATGAGGTCTAAATACTGCTTCTCGTCCAACTGAGGAAATAAAATCCCAGGTGGAAAAGGCAAGGGTCATTATGGACTGGACCATCGGGGAATACTTTATGGAACATTAGAGAAGAATAATAACCTTTAAGCAAATGCAACCGAAAGGAAATTATCTGTTGAGAATCAGAATGACTTCCTGATTCTAAGGGATGTAAACAGGAAATGAAGATGCCTATGTGCCTTTATTGGCTTTATTTTTGGCTGAGTCTCAGATATTAAAATTCTCTAAGTTTTTTTTTTAACTTATCAAGGTAAGAACTAATGTTTAAAAGCTGAAACAAAGAAAAAGTGTTCAGACTATTTTACTCTTATCTTTGCTAATAACTACACTGCAATAAAATCTACATGATTGTGTTGTTTTGTTTTGTGTTGACATCTTCACACAGAAAGGTTCACGTTTTTGGGTTAAAACAACACTCATTGGCTCCAGCACATCTTTCTCCTCCTAATAAAGCTCTTTCCTCCTTATGCAGAACTCTGTTCAATTTTCTATTCTTTTTCATATAAAGTCTGTTTATAACCCCTTGTGTAGGAAAAAATCAGGAAAAATGCAATTTAAATAATCCTAAGTGAGGAGGCTTTAAAAAAGCAATATAGCATTTGCCTTTATTCTTTTAACAAACCGGGGATTTTAAATCTGGAGTTTCATTTAATGATTCAAAATATAAATATAAGTAATTAAGGAGAACAAAGAACAAATAAGAACAAAGAACAAATACAGGAACAAAGAAGTTAAAGTAGTATAGGAAATGGTATAGGACATATATGCACTACCAAATGTAAAATCAATAGCTAGTGGGATGCAGCCACAGAGCACAGGGAGATCAGCTCAGTGCTTTGTGACCACCTAGAAGGATGGGATAGGGAGGGTGGGAGGGAGGGAGACACAAGAGGGAAGAGATATAGGGATATATGTATATGTATAGCTGATTCACTTTGTTATAAAGCAGAAACTAACACACCATTGTAAAGCAATTATACTCCAATAAAGATGTTAAAAAATAATAAAAGATATTGGGCTTCCCTGGTGGCGCAGTGGTTGAGAGTCCACCTGCCAATGCAGGGGACACGGGTTCGTGCCCCGGTCCGGGAGGATCCCACATGCCGCGGAGCGGCTAGGCCCGTGAGCCATGGCCGCTGAGCCTGCACATCCGGAGCCTGTGCTCCACAACGGAAGAGGCCACAACAGTGAGAGACCCGCGTACCAAAAAAAAAAAAAAAAAGAATATACAACTTTTAGCAAGTACAGTAGATCCTCCTCATTCATGGACTCCAATATCTGTGAATTTGCCTATTTGCTTAAATTTATTTGTAACCCCCAAATCAACATTCACAGTCACTCCCTAACATGCACAGGGTGGCAAAAAAAATTTGAGTCACCTAGACAAGTACATCATCAGCTGGGGTCAATCCAGGTGGCACTCTGCCTTCTTGTTTCATCTCTCTTATTGTAAACAAGGATCCCGTCCAGGAGGATCCCACATGCCGCGGAGCAGCTGGGCCTGTGAGCCATGGCCGCTAAGCCTGCGCGTCCGGAGCCTGTGCTCCGCAACGGGAGAGGCCCCAACAGTGAGAGGCCCGCGTACCACAAAAAAATAATAATAATAATAATTAATAAATAAAAAGGTTTTTAAAAAATAGAACCTCTTTATATTTTATTTTCTTTAGAATTTTTTTCCAGATTTGTTGAGATATAATTAACATATAGCATTGTGTATATGTAAGGTATACAACATAATGCTTTGATACATGTACATATTTTGAAATGATTACAATAAGTTTAGTAAAGGCTTCCACCACCTCACATAGTTACCTTTTCTTTCTTCTTGTGTTGAGAACATTTAAGATCTAGTGTGTAAGGGCAACTTTCAAGTACATGATATAGTGTTGTTAACTACAGACACCATGTTGACATTAAATTCCCAGAACTTATTCATCTTATAGCTGGGGGTTTGTACCCTTTCACCACCATTTCTCCATTCTTCCACTCCCCCAGCCCCTGGGAACCATCATTAACTCTATTTTTAAGAGTTTAACTTTTTTTAGATTCCACAAATAAGAGATATCATAAAGTAGTTGTCTTTCTCTGCCTGGCTTATTTCAATTACCATAATGCCCTCAAGGTCCTTTCATGTTGTCACAAATGGCGGGATTTCCACCTTTTTTATGCCTGAATTATATTCCATCATATACATGTACATTCTATTCTCTTATCCATTCACCTGTTGATGAACACTTTAATTGTAGTTTCCATATCTTGGCCATTGTGAATAATGCTGCAATGAACATAGGAGTGAAGACATCTCTTTGAGATACTGATTTCATTTCCTTTGGATATACACCCAGAAGCTGGATTGCTGAATCATATGGTGGTTCTATTTTTATTTTTTTGAGGAACCTCCATACTCTCCATAATGGCTGCATCAATGTGCATTCCAACCAACAGTGCACAAGGGCTCCCTTTTCTTCTCAGCCTCACTAAAACTTGTTGTCTCTTGTCTTTTTGATGATAGCCACTCTAACAGGTGTGAGGTGATGTCTCATTGTGGTTTTGATTTGAATCTCCCTGATGATTAGTGATAGTATCTTTTCATGTATTGGGTTGGCCAGAAAGTTCATTTGGGTTTTTGTAACGTCTTATGGAAAAACCCAGATGAACGTTTTGCCAACCTAACACCTCTTGGCCAGTTGTATGTCTTCTTTGGAAAAATGACAATTCAACTCCTTTGCCCATTTTTTAATTGGATTTTTTTTGGGCTATTAAATTGTACGAGTTTTTAGTATAATTTAGATTCTAACCCCTTACCAGATAGATGATTTGCAAATATTTTCTCCCACTCCATAGGTTGCCTTTTCATTTTGTAGACTGTTTGTTGTGCAGAAACATTTTAGTGTTATATAGTTCACTTGTTTATTTTTGCTTTTTGTTGTTTGTGCATTTAGTGTCACAGCCAAAAATTGGTGTCAAGACCAGAGTCTATGAACATTTTCACTATATTTTCCTCAAGGATTTTTACAGTTTCAGGTCTTATATGTAAGCCTTTAATCCATTTGTAGTTAATTTTAGTATAAGGATATAATATCGGGGTCCTGTTTTATTCAGGATGATTTGCTTGTGAATATCAAGTTTTACCAACAGCATTTATTGAAGAGACAATTGCTTCCTAATTGAGTGTTCATGGCACCCTTGTCAAAAATTAGTTGGACACTTGTAAGAGAACAATTTCCAATAGAATGAACATAAATGACCCAACAATAGCATGCCAGTAGCTGTAGAAATTGGTAAGCCACTTAAAAAAATTCATTTGTTGAAATCTACAAAATATACACATATTATACCCTATAACCCAGAATATTCCAAAGAGTATACTCCTAAGAAAAACTTTCATCAATTTTGGGTAATAGTGGCTGATATGAATATCTTTTTATATGTATTTCGGTAGATAAACTCATTTTTTCTTCCCTATTATACAGCTCTGACACCAGTTCTACTTATAATAGCAAAAAACTAGAAATAATTCAATGTCCAAAATGCAAATAAATAGCGATAGAGACTTGCATTAGAATACTAGATAGCAATTTTTTTTAAAAACTGCTACATGTAGTAACTTATTTGAATTTCACAGACATACTATTTTGTAAAAGAAGCCAGGCCAAAAGAAATTCTCACTGTTCAAACTGCTCAACCACAGGAAGAACTAATCTATGGTGATAAAAGGTCGGTACATATAGTGGTAGGCAGGGAAAGCAGGCATGAGAGTGCCTTCTCTGGCGTAGAAAATATTCTTTATCTAGCAAATACATATATGGGTATATAGTTATGTATCCGTTCTTTAGTTGTACACTTAACATTTGTGAAATTTACTCTATGCAAGTTTATAACTCCATAAAAAAGTAAAATTAATATTGTACTAGGCTTTTTAAATGAGCTGGGGATTTTTTCCCTCTATTTTCTGCTGCTTCTCTTTTTTAAATTTAGGGGGGAGTTGAGGAAGATGGAAGAGTAAGACGCGGAGATCACCTTCTTCCCCACAGATACATCAGAAATACATCTACACGTGGAACTGCTCCTATAGAACACCTACTGAACGCTGGCAGAAGACCTCAGCCCTCCAAAAGGCAAGAAACTCCCCCACGTAACTGGGTAGGGCAAAAGAAAAAAGAATAAACAGAGACAAAAGAATAGGGACGGTACCTGCACCAGCGGGAGGGAGCTGTGAAGGAGGAAAGGTTTCCACACACTAGAAGCCCCTTCGCGGGCGGAGACTGCGGGTGACGGAGTCGGGGAGCTTCGGAGCCGCGGAGGACAGCACAGCAACAGGGGTGCGGAGGGCAGAGCAGAGAGTTTCCCGCACAGAGGATCGGTGCCGACCAGCACTCACCAGCCCGAGAGGCTTGTCTGCTCACCCGCCGGGGCGGGCGGGGCTGGGAGCTGAGGCTCGGGCTTCGGTCGGAGCGCAGGGAGAGGACTGGGGTTGGCGGCGTGAACACAGCCTGCAGGGGGTTAGTGCGCCACGGCTGGCCGGGAGGGAGTGCGGGAAAGTCTGGAGCTGCCGAAGAGGCAAGAGACTTTTTCTTCCCTCTTTGTTTCCTGGTGCGCGAGGAGAGGGGATTCAGGGCGCCGCTTAAAGGAGCTCCAGAGACAGGCGCGAGCCGCGGCTAAAAGTGCGGACCCCAGAGACGGGCATGAGAAGCTAGGGCTGCTGCCGCCACCAAGAAGCCTGTGTGCGAGCACAGGTCACTCTCCACACCCCCCTTCCGGGGAGCCTGTGCAGGCCGCCACTGCCAGGGTCCCGGGATCCAGGGACAACTTCCCCGGGAGAACGCACGGCGCGCCTCAGGCTGGTGCAACGTCACGCCGGCGCAACGTCACGCCGGCGCAACGTCACGCCGGCCTCTGCCGCCTCAGGCTCGCCCCGCCCTCCATGCCCCTCCCTCCCCACCGGCCTCAGTGAGCCAGAGCCCCCGAATCAGCGGCTCCTTTAACCCCGTCCTGTCTGAGCAAAGAACAGACGCCCTCCGGCGACCCACACGCAGAGGCGGGTCCAGATCCAAAGCTAACCCCGGGAGCTGTGCTAACAAAGAAGAGAAAGGGAAATCTCTCCCAGCAGCCTCAGGAGCAGAGGATTAAATCTCCACAATCAACTTGATGTACCTGCATCTGTGGAATACATAAATACACAACGAATCATCCCAAATTGAGGAGGTGGGCTTTGAGAGCAAGATATATTATTTTTTCCCCTTTTCCTCTTTTTGTGAGTGTGTATGTGTATGCTTCTGGGTGAGATTTTCTCTGTATAGTTTTGCTTTCACCATTTGCTAGGGTTCTGTCCGTCCGTTTTTGTTTGTTGTTTTTTTTTACTTTTTAAAAAAACTTTTTTCTTAATAATTATTTTTTATAATAACTTTATTCTACTTTATCTTACTTTATTTTATTTTATACTCTTTCTTTCTTTCTTTCTTTCTACTTTTTCTCCCTTTTATTCTGAGCGGTGTGGATGAAAGGCTCTTGGTGCTGCAGCCAGGCGTCAGGGCTGTGCATCTGACGTGGGAGAGCCAACTTCAGGACATTGGTCCACCAGAGATTTCCCAGCTCCACCGTAATACCAAACGGTGAAAATTTCCCAGAGATCTCCATCTCAACACCAACACCCAGCTTCACTCACCGACCAGCAAGCTCCAGTGCTGGACACCCTATGCCAAACAACTAGCAAGACAGGAACACAACCCCACCCATTAGCGGAGAGGCTGCCTAAAATCATAATAAGGCCACAGACACCCCAAAACACACCACCAGACTTGGACCTGCCCACTAGAGAGACAAGATCCAGCCTCAACCACCAGAACACAGGCATTAGTCCCCTCCACTAGGAAGCCTACACAACTCACTGAACCAACTTTAGCCACTGGGGACAGACACCAAAAACAATGGGAACTACGAACCTGCAGCCTGCGAAAAAGAGACCCCAAACACAGTAAGATAAGCAAAATGAGAAGACAGAAAAACACACAGCAGATGAAGGAGCAAGGTAAAAACCCACCAGACCTAACAAATGAAGAGGAAAAGGAATTCAGAATAATGATAGTAAAGATGATCCAAAATCTTGGAAATAGAATAGAGAAAATGCAAGAAACATTTAACAAGGACCTAGAAGAACTAAAGAGGAAACAAGCAACGATGAACAACACAATAAATGAAATTACAAATTCTCTAGAAGGGATCAATAGCAGAATAACTGAGGCAGAAGAACGGATAAGTGACCTGGAAGATAAAATAGTGGAAATAACTACTGCAGAGCAGAATAAAGAAAAAAGAATGAAAAGAACTGAGGACAGTCTCAGAGACCACTGGGACAACACTAAATGCACCAACATTCAAATTATAGGGGTCCCAGAAGAAGAAGAGAGAAAAAAAGGGACTGAGAAAATATTTGAAGAGATTATAGTTGAAAACTTCCCGAATATGGGAAAGTAAATAGTTAATCAAGTCCAGGAAGCACAGAGTCCCATACAGGATAAATCTTTATGTATTTTGGATGTTAACCCTTATCAGAAAGATAGTTTGCAAATATTTTCTCCAATTCCATAGGCTGACTTTTCATTTTGTTGATGGTTTCCTTTACTGTGCAGAGGCTTTTTAGTTTTATGTAGCCCTACCTGCTTATTTTTGCTCTTGTTGCCTTTGCTTTTGGCATCAAATCCAAAAAATCATCACGAAGACTGATGTCAAGGCCTTTTTTTTTTTTCTATTTTTTCTTCTAGGATTTTTATGGCTTCAGAACTTATAATCAAGTCTTTTACCTATTTTGAGTTAATTTTTGTGAATAGTGTAAGATAGTAGTCCAGTTTCATTCTTTTGCATGTAACTGTCCAGTTTTCTCAACACCATTAATTGAAAAGACTGTCCTTTCCCCATTGTATATTCTTGGCTCCTTTGTCAAAAACTAATTGACCATACAAATTTAGGTTTATTTCTGGGTTGTCTATTCTGTTCCATTGATCTCTGTGTCCATTTTTATATTAATACCATACTGTTTTTATTAATATGGCTCTGTAATATAGTTTGAAATCAGGAAGCATGACACCTCCAGCTTTGTTATTCTTCCTCAAGATTGCTTTGGTTATTCAGGGTCTTTTGTGGTTCCGTGCAAATTTTAGGATTGTTTGTTCTGTATCTGCGAAAATTTCCATTGGAGTTTTCATAAGGATTGCAGTGAATCTGCAACTGCTTTGGGTAGTATTGACATGTTAATAATATTAGATCTTCCAATCCATGAGCACCAAATATCTTTCCATTTATTTGTGTCTTCTTCAATATCTTAGAGTTTTCAATGTACAGGTCTTTCATCTCCTTGGTTAAATTTATTCCTAGATATTTTATTCTTTTGGTGCAATTGTAAATAGATTTGTTTTCTTAATTTCTCCTTATGGCAGTTTGTTGTCAGTGTATAGAAATGCAACTGATTTTTGTATATAGATTTTACGTCCTGCAACTTTACTGAGTTTATTATTCTAACAATTTTTTGGTAAAGTCTTTAGGGTTTTATGTAGTGTCAGTTTTGCCTCTTCCTTTCACATTTGGATGCCCTTATTTTCTTTCCCATCGCAAACCATCCTCACACGTTTACTGGAGTTGAATCAAAAGAGAGAGACAGCTGGGGAGACAGGGGCAGGTAAGCCAAACAATGCCATTCTCCTGCTTAAAAAACATTACTGGTTCATAATTAGCTATAGTAAAATTTCCAAAATTCAGTTATTTGCATTACTGTATAATGAACATCTCCACACCTGTATTCTAACTGTATAATCATTTAACCAATATTTTCTTTACATTTACTACCTTTTTAACTTATTTTGTTCAAAAATAAAACATACATTGCTACCAAAGATATCCATGAAAAAATGGAAAATTTTCTAAACAATCTGTACAGTTATTTTTTAAAACTGCCCATGCTCTACCTTAAATCAAAATTTGGGAAACAATAAGCTACATTAGGAAGCTCAAAGCCCTTAACTCAGTTTATGAAGCTCCATGTTTGGAATTTTAAATACTTTCTTTTTTCAGCCTCACTAACTATTTCCTTACAGTCTTTTTAGGAACAAGCAATATTGATCTGACCAGCATTCCCTAAACACATCAGATTCTTTTGCAATTTTGTGCTTTATACATGGTTCTTATCTCTGTAATGGCCCTCCTTACTCCCCAGTTCTTACCTTTTTCTCCCTCACTTCTCTCAATGTTGAATAAGTTGTAGTATTTCCACTCACATCAATTATCAATTCAATAATTTAAACTTGGTTGGTGTACTTATCAGATACTAAATGAGGTAGAATCCTACTAGAAAATATCTATGTATTATTGACTTTGCACTGCTTAAAATAATTAAATTTAAAAATGAATAAATTTCTTATTTGAAAGAGTATATTTGTTTTTACTATGTCTTTTAATAGGTGCATGTCTTGAATGAATGTTATCTGATCTTGCTATCACAATTACTTTTTCCAGAAATGGTAAAACTAGAGTTGATTCTGTCCTTGTGCACCACATATATCAAATACAAGAGAGAGACAGAAGCAACATTCTCTCCAGCTAACCAACACAAAGCTTTTGGAATCTCTAATGTCATTCAACCATCAAATGAGCATTAAGACAAATTCATTAATTGATGAGCCCAGTCTTTTTGCACATCAATTTTTTTTTTATTTTTATTTTTTTGTGGTACACGGGCCTCTCACTGTTGTGGCCTCCCCCGTTGCAGAGCACAGGCTCCGGACGCGCAGGCTCAGCGGCCACGGCTCACGGGCCCAGCCGCTCCGTGGCATGTGGGATCCTCCCGGACGGGGCACGAACCCGTGTCCCCTGCATCGGCAGGCGGACTCCCAACCACTGCGCCACCAGGGAAGCCCTTGCACATCAATTTTTACCTTTTTGTGTATCCTGCCAGAAAAGTTTGCCTGGATCTCTCCAAGTGGTAATAATTCTCTGGACCAGATCTAAGTTTTATTCCCTTGGCAGTGGCCCTAATTACATTATATAGAAAAGTTACCCAGGTTAGAGAACACTCAGTTGCCAATGAGAGGCAATAAGATTAAATGAGAAGGAAGACCTATTTACTAAATGAGGATCAGACTCTCTGCAGCATAATAGCAGCATAAAGCAAAGAGAAACCGTTTGATTGTGATCCAGAAGATCCTTTTGCTCTGAAGAGAGTTTGAAAGAATAACTTTGCATCACCTTCTGTGTGAGGACTCTTTTCCTGTCACTATCTCCTCCAACCTAAGTCTAAACCAACCCATTGATCCCATAGTCATCTCTGTGTCACAGTCAGGTAGATCAGTCTAGGACAATGGGAAACATAGAGAAAACCACATCCATTTTCTCTATTTAGATATAAGGTAAAAAATATAATTTAAAAATCTAAATCAATATCC